TCCTCTCCTCTATCCATCTTCTATCCGCCTCCCACTCTCTCCCTATTTATTTCAGAACCCCCTTCCCCTCCCCCTTTTCTGATGAAGGGTCTAGGCCCGAAACGTCAGCCTTTCTGCTCCTATGATGCTGCTTGGCCTGCTGTGTTCATCCAGCCCTGCACCTTGTTGTCTCGGATTCTCCAGCATCTGCAGTTCCTCCTATTTCTGGCCCGTTTCCATGCTGTATGAGTCCACACGTACAGAGACTCACACCATCTCCAATCCTTCCACAAAATCAACTTGCTCAGATCAAAAGCCAAGTGTGTTAGAGTTTCCTATTTTCTTTCCTTGGTCCACTAAGCCAAACTCTCAGGTTCCTCCATGCCCTAGACCTGAACATAATTCTTTCTTGAGTTTCTCAACTCATTTTCTCTCCCAGCTCAACTAGTCTGAGACAGTCACCTCATTCTTGCTCCTCTCTTAACTACTGACAATCCCACTCTCCTACCCAACTAAGGAACCGCAAGATACAACAAAGGATCAAGAACAAGAGGGATAGATTTGTGACTTGGCAAAAGAAGCAAATGCGAAGGGATAGAAAACTTCTTCACACACCAAGTGGTTGGGTCTGGAATACACTTCGATGAAGTGTGGTGGAGGCAGGTTCAATTGAGGCACTCAAGAGGATTATTTATTTAGAAATAATATGCAAGGGTATTGGGGAAAAGGTAGGGCAAGGCAATAAGTCATGATGCTCATTTGACACAGCTAGTACAGACACAATGGGCCAAATAGCCTCTTGAAACACGTTACCACTTCTGCGATTAACAAAAGCAAACTACTGAGATATTGGAAATCTGAAATGCAAGCGCAATATGCTGCAGATACTCAGCAGGTTTGCTCACGTCTGTGGTGAGAGAAACAGAGTTAACATTTCGAGCTTAATGTGACTCTACTTCTGAACCTCCCCCACCTCAGTCCGTTGTCAGGCTGTCCAGGTCCCCAGCATAGGTGAGGCGGTGTGAGCAAGTGTGGGTGTTTGTATATGAACAAGCAGTTTAGTAGTGAGCGGTTTCAGGTCCTCAGAGTGGACAAAAGGGGAGGGTTCAGATCAGGGGAAGGAAAGGGGGTGAAGAGGCAGAGCGTTGATCTGGGGGAGGTGAAGAGAGTTGGCATTTTGGGAATGTGTGATCTAAGCTGGGAAGTCAGTTTAATAGTTATTCAGCAGTTACACTGTGTTTGTAACAGTCTAACATTTCCTGAATAACTATTTACAAATTGCAGTGGGACTCTTCAATTTCACCAATTTAAGTGGATTTGATCTTTGGTGGGTTCCAGGTGTAGGGGAATTGCCCGGCAGAATATTTAATTTCCCTGGCCATTCCGTAATGTCCTTTAGGGAAGGAAACTGCCATCCTTATCTGGTCTGGCCTACATGTGACGCCAGAACCACAGCAATGTGGTTGACTCTTAACTGCCCTCTGGGGCATTAGAGATGGGCAATAAATGCTGCCTACCCAGCGACGCCCTCATCCTGAGAATGAAAAAAGAGAAAAAAAGGAGCCTGCTACATTAGGGATTCTGCAGGATCTCCATGTCAACTTCCAACACTGCAGAAGTGACTATCTGGCTGTTGGAAAATCCAGGTCATAAACTCATTCAAATCTCTGCTGCTCACATCCCAGCTTACAGAGAAACCCATTCACCTTTCACCCCTGTGCTCACTGACCTGTATGAACCCCACAACACTCAGAGATATCTGAACTCTTCTCATTCCAGCCTCTTGGAGCATCCCCTATAATAATTGCTCACGGAGGTGGCCAGGCTTTCTGTCACCAATGCCCCAAGCTCTGAAACTTTCCTCCCAATGCTGCTCCACCTCACTTCCCTCCTTTAAGATGAGAATAACTTACTGGTCATTCTTCACAGGATGAGGGCATTTTTGGCTCGACCAGCATTTAACACCTATCCCTAATTGCCCAGAGGGCAGTTTAGGAGTCAACCACATTGCTGTGGGTCTGAAGTCACGATGAAGGCCAGACCAGATAAAGATGGCAGTTTCCTTCCCTAAAGGACATTAGTGAACGAGATGGGATTTTCCGACAATCAACAATGGATTCGTGGTCATCATCAGACAACAAAGTAGTCAAGATTATTATTGAATTTAAACTCCACTATCTGCCATGGTGGGATTTGAACCCGTGTCCCCAGGACATTACCTGGATCTCTGGTCTAATGATAACACCATCACACTGTTACCTCCCCTGATATCTGACTTGACATCTTTTTTAGGCTCAGCGTCATACTTTGCAAAGCTACTGCAAAGTTGCTTGGGTTCTTAAAGATGCTGGATAAATAATTGTTGTTGTGGTGAGCAATCAAACACATTCACAATAACATCAATAGAAAGATATGTCTCATCCTTCTGTGGCACCATGCAGCATTAAGGAGAGTGAAACAAAGCTGGCAGTCCATCAGATGTGCCTGCACAAAGACTGGAGGAGAGACAGGTTGTCACCAGCAGCTGCAACCTGAAATAAGTCTGACGCCTGTTGGCACCTGTCCTCATCACAATCCTAGACGGAGAGAGAGAGAGCTCCTAAATGCAGTCAGCACAACCTGTACAGACAGCCTTTTTCCTGCAGGAGACAGCTGATTCAGAACAACACTGCCATCTCCAAGGTGCCCGAACCAACTGGCACAGTTCTGCATGCAATGAGAGGTCAGGGATTTTCCTGCCTTCCTCTAATCATATCAGTGTCGGGTGGGGTGGGGTTGATTACTGCACTGCAGTAACATTGAATACTCCTGATTCTGGGGTGCTACAGTCCTCAACATGGCGACCTTTCCAGCCTTCTCCAGTAGCCACCATTCCGGGAGTCACAGTCACAGGGAATATTTTAAAATCTGGAATCTGTCAAGTCACAGCTCATCAAAATGACACAAATGAGTCCAGGAAAGGCTAATGCAATGCTCACCTATATGTCAAAAAGTCTAGAACACAAGGGAGTAGAAATCATACTTCAGCTGTACAGAACCCTGGCTGGAGGAATGTGTACAGATCCAGGCACCACTACTTAGGAAGGATATACTGGACTGGGAGGGAGTTCAGCATAGATTTAACTGCGGAGCTGAGGAAACAACAAGCACGCTAGGGCTATTCTTCTTGACATTGAGCAGGTGAAAGAGTGATGTGGCTGATTTTACTGAAGATATTAACTTGAAAAGATAGAGAGAAACTACTTCTGTTGGTTGCGGAGTGCAGAATGCCTTTCAGAGTTCAAATTAGGAAACACACTCACACATAAAGGGTGGTACACATTTGCAACTTCCTTCTGCAGACAGCAATTGATGCTCGATCAAATCTTAGTTTGAAATGATTGTATGTGAGGGACTAGGCAAGGTGGATAGGTTGCAGGTCAGCCATATCCAATTGAATGCTCGAAGAGGCTCAGGGGTCAAACAGCTTTTCCTATAAAAAGAAATCAAGGATTGGAATGGTACAAACCCTCGTGATGAGAAAGTAGGAAGGTCTGCAAACAACAGAGGTGGAAAAATCAGAGAAAGGCAGACAATACAGATCAGAATTAAGGAAAATGTTCAAGAAACACTTGCTCTGAAGTTCAAGGGGAGAAGAGCTGAAACTCCAGAAGATAAATCTGACTGTATATTGTCATATAGTCATAGAATTGTACAGCATGGAAACAGACCCTTCGGCCCAACCTGACCATATAACATAAGCTGATCAAGTCCCATTTGACCCATATCCCTCCAAACCCTTCCTATTCATATACCCGTCCAAATGCCTTTTAAATGTTGCAATTGTACCAGACTCCACCACTTCCTCTGGCAGCTCATTCCACATTCTCCAGCTCCCTGAGAACTCAAACATCCACCGATCTCTGTCTTGAATATACTCAATGACTGAGTGTCCAACACTCTCTGGCATAGAAAATTCACAAGATTCACAGGCCACTGAATTAAGAAATTTCTCATCATCTCAATCCTAAATGCTGATGCACATATTCCCAGGCTCTGACCACATGTTCCAGACTCCCCCATCAGTGAAACCTTCTTGCAGTTTCCATCCAATTTTTCAACATTTTCTTTGAACAATCTGTCCATTGAAGTTCATGCTATGTGTAGGTGTTGATATTGAAGAACAGAGCTACAGGGCGTCTGTTTGCAAAACTACAAGGTTCAGTGAAAGAGAGAGAGGGAGCAAGAGAGAGCTCTGGAACAGAAGACTGATTCATCTCATTTTAGTCTGATTGGGCACTGCATATTAAACTGGCGAGGAGACAGGCTTTGCTCACAAATGTACTGGCCCGTGCTGTAATGACAATCTAATTGAATTTAAAATAGATCGAATTCCAGCTCATCAGGGAGTAGTTGATCCTATTTCATACAGATCCATTACCGTTTTTGTGTTTCACTGGCACCTAATCCTATGTCTTGTTTTGATTGCTGATGGGTGCCATATGGAACAAAGTCAGAGAGATAAAGGGAAAAAACACAGAGAAAGATAAATACACAAATGGGGGAGTGACAGAGAGAGAGAGGCAGAGACACAGAGAGACAGACAGAGGGGGAAAGCAGAATGGAGAGACAGAGGGGGAACAGAAAGGGAGACAAAAAGGGGGCGAAGAGAGATAGAGACAAAGAGGGAGGGAGGAGAGAAAAATGGGCCGTGGGAAAGAGAGAAAGACAGAGAGTGGAGCAAGAAACTGACGGGGGTTGCGGGTTAAAGAGAGAGACAGAGAAAGGGGAAGAGAAGGAAAGAAAGTCAGAGAGATGGCAAGAAAGGCAGAGGCAAAGAGTCAGAGATTGCAATACTTGAGAAGAAAACAAATCAACACAAAGTCAGGCAAATTACTAATTTCAACGTCATGCAACAGAGATGTTAAAAGACCAACTGGCCTTCTGTTGGTGATGGCACACGGGGGTACCAACCTCAGCCACCATGATAATATTCAGTGTGAGAATAAAAGAAAAGATATGGTCTCATCGCTAAGTATGATGCCTTCATGTAGTTATGAGTCCTGGTTTGATTTTTGATCACTCCTAGCTGGTGGAGATTGGGTGATGGTAGAGAGGGAAAACAGGACCCTCTGCGGGAAGGACACCAGAAGAGAAGAATTTAAGAAGCTCCACTGTGAAATGCAAGTTCTGAAAATGACAAAAGCTACCACAATTCAGTAAGCTGTGCATCACTCACAAAGGTATGGGCAGCCCAGGTCATTATTGCAACTTCCAGCACAGGACCACAGCATGCAGTGTTGCATTATACCCTGCTGTTGACAGATCAGAGATCACATAAACACACACACCCCTGCGTGATAATCTGTTATCTAAACCCCGTCATTAGATTACGACTTTGTAAATGCTTCCATTCCTGGAACTGAATGCACGTGGAATTTGAAAGGACGGAAGTGTTCACAATTCACATTATAAACAGTGTTTGTTGAGGTCTGAACCCACCCAGGGGGATTATTGTCTGAATGTCTTCTATTCTTATAGTTTTAAGGACTGAAAAAAATTTGCAATTACGTAGCACCTCTCAGGCTCTTAAGATGTCCCGAAGCACATTTGAGTCAATGAAGTACTTTTGAAGTGTAGTTACTGTGGTAATGTAGTAAATGAAGCAACCAATTTGTACGAAGAAAACTCCTACTAACAGCAGTGATATAATAACTTGATAATATTTGTTAAACCATCTGCCTTTATCAAGATTGTGAGCACGCTTGTTTGAGGGTTTTCGAAGCATTATAGTCCATGCGGTATAAACTAGAAAACATTCCTTTTAACTGATAAAGTTAAGTGGGTTCCAATAATATAGTTCTATTCCTGAAAGAAAAAAGCTTTGTGGTGGGCTTGCTTTTATCCTGGATAGTGGTCAGTCAAACAAATTGGGTTCTGGTGCTCCTGCTGGGATTTTATGCATTTATACATTGTGTGACCAACTGTGATGCAGAGGGACACAATTATCAGTGCACAGTTCCCAGTTGAGTCATGGCATACCCAAGAGGGCAGTATAATGCTTTGCTTAAAGCCTGATCAAAAGGTCAACATCCTAAACCATGCAGTGCACCCTCAGCTTTGATGACTGTGCCCAGGTCCTGGAGTGAGGTCGAACCCACCACCTTCGGACTCATGGTGAAGCATGCTACCAAATGAGTCCTCAATAAAACTCTCTTTTGAGTCTCCTCAAGACTCTTCAATGCTCTAGTTTAGGCTGAGAGCCCTGGAAAGGAAACTCGCTGCATCTGACATCCATTTCAATTTGAACTGGACATTGTACAATTCTTTCCCCTTGAGCTGCAATTAATTGTCGGTGACAAAGACAAATACCAAACAAAAGCTGGAGTAAATTCGTGAAAGTGCTGAGTGAGATGATACTGTTGACTTGGACTCTACATTCATTTATCTTTCTTTTCTGAGGGAAGATCACACAACACTGCTGAAGATACATTGCAAACTAACATTTGCACATACTTCCTTCACTCAAGACAATTCTTTCTGTATCCTTCCCCTCCACTCCACGCCCACTCTTTCCCCTTAAACTCCCTCCTCTCCCTGCTCCATTCTTCCTATCCCTTACCCCCCAGCAGACATCATGTTCACATAATGAATTGAATGGGCCTCCTGAAGGGTTGCCTCTTTTCCTACAATGCATCTAGTTATCCAAGTAGATCCTCAAGGTGGTCCAAATGAATAAACTTCTTTCCTTCTAACAAAAATATTCATGATTCCATCCAGGCTACAGTAGATATCTAACAGAAGCGCAGGCTAAACAGACATCTTTCTCAAATGGAAAGGTAACAGGCAACACCAGTGTGTTTAGTCCCGAGTTCAATCAAACCGGTTTTCTTTTAGTTTCAGGCCATGTAGGAAAGGAGGAGGCCGTTCAGCCCCTCCAGCCTTTGCTGTCATGCTGTTGCGTCATGGCTGATGAGCATTTTAATTCCATTCAACTGCCTTGGCTCCATGTGCTCCATATGCTTGCGTATGTTGAAACAAATCCTGATCTTGACAGGTTCAATTACTCATAAGTATCAACATCTTGACAACGTGAAGGGGGCAAACAGGGAAGAAATGTGGTACATCTATATTGGCATCACACTTTTAATGAAGTACTTCCTGATTTACAACTAATACTTCCACCGACTTGGCTCATTGATTAAACTGCTCAGAACTCTGGAGATAACTATTTGGATTAGATAAAACATAACGAGCCCACTGATTCATTCTAGCTGAGAGAAAAACATTATAATTACCCACATTATGCAATGCAGGTCCCTTGCAAGGCCATAAAACAAAGTGTACGTTTGGACAAACTAAACAATCACATTGCCACCGCCTCCCTGTACAGTCCATGATTACTGGAGTGCCTTGTCTTGTAGCTGAAATGTATATATTGTGTCAAAACCATCTACTCACTTGCTCACAGTGCTGTCCAACAAATGTGCAAGGACCAACTGTTATCCGTCCCAAAATGCGTTACTCTGGCCTGCTCCTGCTTATTCCATGCCTCTCTTTGATAGCTTCTGTTCCCTAGCCTACAACTTGGTTACAGCACTTGCAATTCATCATGTAGGACAGGGTATTTGAAAGGAGAGATGACGACAGTAGCACAATTAGACTCTCCGGTAGCTTGAGCTTGCACAGAAACTGCATAAATAATGCATCTCTCCTGTGTGCAAGGAGAAGACCTATTCATTTTTACTCTGTTTCTATTCTAAAAGAATACTCCCAGGGAGCAAGGTGACTTTGTGAAATTCCAGATAGAGCAAAGGGTTTAGCATACTTGCACCATATACATGCAAAGCAAATACAGTGACATCAACTACATTTAACATCAACTAAATGTCTAGAAATGGTTCATTTTCCTGCAAGGAAAAGGTTAGAGATATCAGCTCTCTGTCTGCCTACTAGAAGTCTACTTTCCTCAACATTACTATGGCATCTTGACTCAGGAACAGGTCAGCATTTCCTTTGGTGGTTGGTTTCACTCTAAACTGAGGAGTACACACAAAAGTAGGACAGGAAAAAAGCACTCCACTGAAAACAACACCCGGAACCTGCAGCTCTCTGTTTTCATCCCATTAAATAATAAGTCACTCGACAAGCATGGTGAAACGAATGTTCATTTCAACTCTTGTTAGCCCTTACTGTGAACATCCATGCTCACTGGGGTGCAGTTCCACAGACAGCAGCCCACTTCTGTCCCCTTGCTAAGTGTTAGCCTCAACCAATAATCAAGATGCTTGACCTTCTTATGTCCACACATCATATCAGAAATTCCTGTGGATCTTCGAAAGGGTGGACAACTCTCTCTGCCAGATTACCACCCAGATGTCAATGTCCCTTGATGTCTGTGCGTGCCAGCATATGACAGCAGCTATACGGGAATGTTGCCTACCATCCAAACTTGAGCATATGTCGCTGTTACATCATCACTGTTGGGTCAAAATCTAGAACTCTCCCAGAATCCCAGAATTCTCTTCCTAATAGCACCAACAATACTGTGGGTGCACTGATAGCTCATGGATTGATGTAGTACTAGAAGACAGCTCTCTTTTCTGTGACAAGTGAGTGATCATTTTTCTTGCAAAGTTCATACCCGAGTTAGCATCAACTATGGCTCAGTGGGTAGCATTCTCTGAGTCACAACATTCTGGGTTTGAGGCCCATTCCAGGACAAAAATCGAGGCTGACATTTCGATGCAGTGCTAAAGTGTGCTATGCCGTTGGAAGTGCGGTCTTTTGTATCAGGCATTAAACCAAGCCCCAGCTGTCTCTTGGTATAATGCAGACAATCTAATAGCCCTATTTGAAGAACAGTAGGGGCACTCTCCCCATGGTCCCTCAATTCAACCACCAAAAACAGATTATCTGGCCATTACCACATTGATGGGAAGCTTGCTGTGCATAAATTGACTGTCATGTTTCTTACATTGCAACAGTGACAATGCTTCAAAACTACATCATTGGCTGTAAAGCTGGTGAAAGGTGGGATGTAAATGCCAGCCAGTCTCTCTTTTTCTTTTCATGCCCAGGACTGAATGTAAAAGAAAAACACATTCTCTCTGGTGCAGACATGATGGGCTGAATGGTCTCCTTCTGCAACGTGATATGCTTGCGATTCTGTGATTCAAGACTTTCATATTGTCGGACGACCCTGAGGAACTCAACCCCCGTGTGTAATGTCTTTCCTAAGTCCCCATTAATTTTATATATTATGGGCTCAGATAGTGAAATGACTCGATTCAAAGATATAACAGCAGATAATCAATTGAAATTGGATTATTTTGTAATTTTCATCAAGCATTCTGTTACAGAATAAAAACCCCTACAGGAAAAGTGTTCTGACTGTGGCTGACAGGAGAAGTTAAAAAATGCTTTAGATTAAAGGAAGAAGGTGGTTTTGTTACCAAAAGGGTAATAAGTCTCAGGACTGGGAGGATTTACAAATGGTGGCCAAGACATTCATAGAGCAAGGGAAAATAGAACGAGGGTCGACTAGCTAGACATTATACAAAACTGACTGTAAAGGAAGAGATTACCGATGGAAAAAGTCAGGTCTTCTGGGACACAGGCAGGAAGAATTATAATAGGGACAAAGAAACAGGAGACATTAAACAAATAATTGGTATCTGCCTTCAGGAGACACAGAAGAGAATCCTGGACATTGTGGGGAACCAAGGATCTAAAGAAAATGAGGAACTTAAGGATATTATCAGTAAAGACATTAATGGGACCAGAAGACAACAAATCTGGATATGACGGCTTGAGTTGTAGTGTTTTAAAAACAAGGCTATGCACATGGATTCTGGAGCATTCACTGTGATTGGGAGGGAGCAAGTGTAACCTTTTTATTCAAGAAAGGAGAGAGAAAGCAAAGGCCAGCTAGCCAACAGCAGTGAAAGCACAGATGCTAGAATGTACGAAGGAACATGATAACAGATCACTGAGAAAATCTAAATATGACTAGGTACAGCAAAGACAGTCCTACGAGATGGAAATTACAGTTGACGAATCTATTAGAGTTTGAGGTTATAACTAGGGTAATATAGTTTCACTGATTTTGAAGGGACATTCAAGAAGGTGGCACACCAGATGTTATCGACAAAATTAGAGCTCAAGGGATTGGGGTTAACGTATTGGCACAGATTGAGGATTGGGTAATGGACATAAGCAGAGAGGTGTTTTTCGGACTGGAGTCCTATGACCAGCGGTGTGCCACAAGGATCGGTGCTGGGTCCACACCTTTTCGTCATTTATATAAATGATTTGGATGTGAACGTAGGCGGTATGGGCAGGCTTTATCCAGCTAGGTACCGTGAGAATCACTTGTATTGGCCACATAGATGCAAAGGACTGAGTGCAATGAATCTAAGTTTGCTGGGTTGAGGAAGCGAATCAGCTGTGCCTGCTGTACTTCTTGTGTTCTCAGTGGCAGACTTTTCAGCACCCAGCAATTGGAATGAACTCAGTCAACTGGCCACAACTTTCAAAACTTGCATTCCTACCTTCCATAACGTACACCAGCGAGCCCACATCTCCCTCCTCAATAACGTAGCTGTCCTGGCTGTACTCCACCGGGTACATGCAATCCACAATCTCCTGAATCTGAGACATCTCTAAGTTCTTCATGAAGTCATTCTCCAAGATGGCATCCTTGATCAGCTCCTTTGACCTGTTACACAGAACCACAGAACAACATTAGGAATGGTCAATGTGGAATTAACAGTACATGCATTTTTAGCTGCTTTACATCCGGTCACCTGACGGGCTCGGGACACAAGTCTCTGCCAAATTATATCTGTGATTGCAAATGGTCTGTTTGGAGAGCTCTTGAATGAGGCCTGAAAACTTGCCACATGACACACCTTCTCTCGATTGGTCCTCCTACACTTGCACTATATCCCATAACAGTATGGAAATCTTAGAGTTAAGATCAAGAATTACTCTAGTCCTACTCACCACTTCCCACTCAAGACCATTTATTCTCTCCCAGGACTTCCAAGACTCAAACATGATATCGTGGTTTCCTCATCCTAAGAACTAAATCCTCTCAAACTCAAAGCTTCATACTGTTGTGTTATATCTCATTGTCAGTATCTTTGTCTAGAAAAAACATGCGCGTGATATCACCACTGTATCATAGCAGATGACCACAGGGTACAAGCAACATATTCGCCATCTTGATTGTGATCACTTGAAGCATGCGGCTCACTGTAACTGAGATGGGGAAGGTCTAGGGAAGAGTCGAGTACAGGTTAAAATAGCTGAGAGGAAAGGGAAAATTCAACTCAATCTAACTTCAGGTACCAACAGCAGAAATGGGAAAAGGCTGGTTCAACCCAGATATGTAACAGTTGACCAGACTACGTTTGATGTGTAATCAAAATTGATTAGCATTTCAGGAAATCATGACATTGAAAATCTCTGTAACCTCCTCCAGCCCTCAGAAAACTCAAGTACCTTCAATTCTCGCCTCTTGTCAATTCTCGTTTATCTCACCTGTGACAGCTGTGCTGCTGTTGACTTGACCCCAAGCTCTGGCATTACCGTGAAATACTTTCTAGCATCTCCAACATTCTCCTATTTTAAGAGATTGTTTAAAGTCCACCTCTTCTTGAGCGATTAGTCATCTGTACTTTTGTCTGGGACTGACTACTGTCTGACTACATTTCTGTGAAAAAGCATGGATGTTTTTCCTGTAACACGTGTCTTATAAATGCTAATTGTTGCTCCAAGTTTGTAGTTAAAAGACTGGGAAAGTGTTAAATTGGACTTTTCCAAAATAAAAATCAGTGAAGGGTGAGAAAACAATAGAATGGTCACAGTAGAGGAGATGACCATTCAGCCCATTACTTCTATACCAATTATTCAGCTAGTCCCACTTCCCCAATTCTCCCCATACCCCTACAAACTTTGCTCTTCTAATAATTACCTATTTCTCTTGTGAAAGACACAATCAAATCTGACTTCACCACAATCTCTGGTTGCCCATTCTACATCATAACCACTCTGCATGAAGAAGGTTCTCTTCCTGTCACCACTGGTTCAGTTACCATATTGAACTGGACATGGGCATCATTAACTGGGCCAACATTTATCACTGTTCCTTGACTGCCTCTTCAGAAGGTTTGTGCACCAACAGCAGTTAGGAAGAGAAGTCCAGGCTTTTGACCCTGCGGTACTGAAGGAACACTGATATAATTCCAAGTAAGGATGGTGTATGGCTTGAACACATACTTGCATGGGGTGGTGTTTCCATGTACCTGCTGCCCTTGTCCTTCTAGATGGCAGGGTTTGTGGAGTTGCAATGTGCTGCCTTCAAGGCTTTGGTGAGTTGTTGCAGTGCATATTGTAGATGGTACCCACTGCTACTCCTGTGTGGCGGTCGTGTAGCAAGTGAATCAAGCAGATGCCAATCAAGCAGGTTGCAGGTCATTTTGTCCTGGATGGCATCACCTTCTTGAAGGCTTTGGAGCTGCATTCATCCAGACAAGTGGGGATCTCTCTCTCATTCCTGACTCGTGCCTTGTCGATGGTGGACAGCCTTGGGGGAGGCAGGAACTGAGTTCCTCGTTGCAGGATTCCTAGCCTCTCATCTGCTCCTGCACCCCCAGTACATTGCTAGTCCAGTTCAGTTTCTTCCCAAACTGACAACTCCCAGAACACTCCAGAAGTGGCTGAACAGAGCTGGCCTACCTCGACAGAAGCAAAGTATTTTAGGCACTGGTATTTTGGAAATCTGAAATGAAAGATAAAGCACTAGAAATTCTTACAGGATCAGCAGCAAGAGAAATAATTAATATTTCAGGTCAATGAGATTTCATCCAAGCTGGATAAAGTGATGGATGTAGCAGATTTTAAACTGGAACAGAAGTAGGGTAAGCGGGAGGAGGAAAGAACAAAAGATGTGATAGGGTGGAAGCCGGAAGAGATTAACTGCCAAAAGATTGGGGGTAAAAATGGAACCAGGCAGCCAACGAAGACAAGAATGAGACAATTAAAGATACCCTTAGATATCTGTCAGTTCTGAAGAAAGGTCATTGAGCTGTAACACTGACTCTGTTTCTCTTGTCAGAATCGACCAAACCATTCTCTCGTCCCACCAAAGATTAGCCCTTCCTGTTCTCTCGCACCAGCTTAAATTGTTGTTCCTTGGATTTATAGAAATTTCAATTGAAATCTTCCCTTCCCTTTCCCATTGACTCCCAATTCACTGACACGTTAAATAATTCAAACAGGCTTTATTCTTTCCCAAGCAATCCTTTAGGACAGAATTCCAAGTGGATCAAACTGCTCCCGATTCAATTGCAGCAAAGTGAACTCCGAAGTGAACTCCCTTTTTCTGATGAAGGGTCTAGGCCCAAAACGTCAGCCTTTCTGCTCCTCTGATGCTGCTTGGCCTGCTGTGTTCATCCAGCCCTGCACCTTGTTGTCTTGAACTTCGAAGCAGCCCATTTCCGTCCAATCCCATTTCCACCACAAGCAAAACATTCAGATAGTACCTGATGTCAGACGATACCTTTCCACCCAGATCCGGCAAGGTGCGGAAAAAACAGGCTAGGTAGAGCCAATACTGAGCGAAAATGGACAACACTTCATCACTCCGCAATACAAGTTCCATGTATTGCTTTTTACTCTCTTATATGCTCACTGAGAAGTCTTCCACTGCAGGCTACACCTAATGAAACTAAAATCCGTTTTTTATAAACAGGTTTGTGTTCACTATTACAACAACTTTGGACATTTTACTACCTTACATGTAGCTTATTACATACAGATGTCACTACTATTAGCATCCTAAATATAGGGGACAGACCACTAAAAATTCATTTCTGGAAGCACTGGTGACTTTCGACAATTTATCCTTGAAATAAAATCAGCAAAAGCAATTAAAATGTGTAGATACAATGGAACTCGTACAGAATTTTAGCGACACCTATTATGGCAGAAATGCCCTCTTTATCAGGAAATATTACCTAGCCTGAATTAAATGTCAATCCGAGACGTTCAAGTCCATGATTGTGTCTCTTTTCTAAAATGAGTACACCTTCGAGACAGACGTTGTTGGAATGGGCTCCCTCGGTCATGCAGCCTCCAATTTCAATGCAAGAATGGACATTCTAATCAAGACTGTCTTCAGCCCAATTTCACCTGGATTTCCTGAACAACCCTGGTCTTGATTAGGGAATCTCAGCAGCATTGCCTCAGATCTATTGCTGGGCCGTCAATGTCCTTTGTGAAGCCTGTGGTGGGACCTACAAAATTTCCCTGCATCTGAAAAGCTGCCTCTGTTACACAGCCCTGGTCCCTTTAGAATCCTCATTCTCAATATCTCCTCTTCTAAGTGCTCTCAGGCATTGATCAGCTGCAGAAATTCATTTTCTTCAATCAAATGATCCTATCTTGTTTTTCTTGCACCTAACACAAACACCTTTTGGTCACAAATTGAATGGATCTCCAAATCCGAATAATTCTACAGTCGAATATCTTTCGCCTTGTCTCAGAAGCAGCTAAATTCTCAATTTAATTATCACATTTTCTCAATGCAGTTATACTTTTCAATCAGTTGCAGATGCAGTGTTTCTGTTACATTTTATGCTCCTTGTAAGTGCCCTACTACTTGTTCCGGCAGTAACTGTAATCTTGCAGCAAAACAAAGTTCATTTTGCATAGGATCGGAAACAACTCTGGCAAATGTATTCACAGTATGCATAATTATTCAACAGAAAAAAATCAAAGCTAACAGCTTCTGGGTTTTTCAGGATGGGTACATTGACTGCAGGAGACAGTGCTGCAACTGACGTGTGCAGAATCAAAGCAACTCAAAGACATCTGTCTTTCACTTTTCCTTAAATAAAAATAACCCACTGTGAGGCACTAATGACTTGACACAAAGGTATGGGCAGCACCGTGATGCTCTCCCTTGTGATGATAGAGCGGCTGCATGCAGGTTGACGACACCAGAAATGATCAGGCTGTGGCATTGAGCAGTGGAGTGAAATGAGGCCTGGGAGAATCCTTTCCGGGAAAGAAATCGATGGAATAGTAGTTATCATATGGAACACTATCTGTGAACAAATCAGCAATGCAGGCATGTGCGCATCGATGCTTTTGCTCCAGACATGTCGCAAACCAAAGAGAGACGAACCTTCGATCGGAATTACAGTCGGCTGCTGCAGGGTCCCTCAGCCTCCGTGCATCTTTTGCAATGGCAAGATCACCAGGATTTGGTACCCTCGCTGGACTCCTAGTATGATGAGAATAAGTCTGATGTTCTCTGTTCAAGTTCAAGAATGCGCACTTTTGGGGGTGGATGGGGGGTGTCATGGTGATACAAGCTCCAGCATATCAGGACAGATGGGGGGAGCAAACAGGAAAAACTTATAACTTATTCCCATATTGGTTGCTTGAAGTTCATTTCTTCAACCGTATTTTAGATACTTTTAATTCTACACATTAAAGGCTGCATGAGCATGTGTCCACGTGCAGGGTGTGGTGGTTACCCCTAAGTAAAGAGCAAAATGAGAGCCACAGGACGGCTGCTCCCTTGGTGCCGCGCCCGAACAGTTATTTAACAACCTACTGTATATTAAATTAGCCCAAGATGCTTGGCAGGAGTGTTACATCCAGCTGCCTGGTCAAAGAGGTTGATTTTAAGGAATATGTTAATAGACCAAACAGCAAAAATGGCTTAGGGAGGGATTTCCAGAATTTATGGATTTGGCCAGCTGATGATATGGCCTTCAAGGAATGGTCAAAATGGGATGCTGAAGCTGTTAGAATTGGAGGAACACGGGTCTTGGAAGGCTGGATTTGGTATGAATTAGGACATAGGTAGCAGAATGTTGGATGGTCGAAAGTTGATAAACAGGTAAAACATCGGATGTCAGCCTAGCCAGGAGTGCATCAAATTCCCAAGATTATGGAAGAGGGTTTCAGCTGCAGAGGAGCTGAAGCAGGGACAGAGGTGACATTTTGGAGATGGACATTGGTTGTTTAAGGGATTTTAGTGAAATGTGTTTGCAAACTTATCTCAGGGCCAACTGTAACACCACAACTGAGAAAAGTCTGGTTCAGTCTCAGACGGTTGCCAGGGAAATGGATGGAATCAGTGGCTACACAACGTAGTATGTGATGGAAATTGAATATAATTGAGCTTTGGTCTTTCCATTATTTAGTTGGAAGAAATATGTGGTACTATGAGACTGATAGGAAGTTAGAAAATGTGGAGACAATGAGATAGAAACATAGAGAATAGGAACTGGAGTAGGTCATTTGACCCTTTGAGCCTGTGCCACCATTCAATATGATCGTGGCTAATCATTCAAACTTAGTGCCCTGTTCTGCTTTCTCCCCATACCCTTTGATCCCCTTAGCCCCAAGAAACATCTAACTCTTTCTTGAAACCTTTCCATGTTTTGGCCTTAACTACTTTCTGTGACAAATAATTCCACAGGCTCATCACTCTCTGATTGAAAATAGGTGCTGTTTTAGCAAATATATGAAGATTCACTGTTTGGTTTAGGATGGCGTCTAACATAGGCAGCATGCTGATGAGAAATGGGAGGGGTCCAAAGTTTAGATCCTTTGGGGAATTTTGAGGTAATGTTGTGGTAAGGGAAATTGAAATTTTGCAGCTGATTTTCTGGCTATGACTGTGTAGATAAGCGCATAACCAAGGAAGTACAATCCCACCCACCAGAAAATTGCAGAGAGGTTTTTTTAAAGCAGGATGGTATGGTTAACAGAGTCAAAGGCTGCACAAATATCAAGAAGGATTAGGAGTCTAGCTTTGTTAATTGTTTTGATGCTGTGTATGCACATATTTCTTTTTGAAAGGAAGACACCAACAGAGCATCTCTGCAGCAAATAACACATATGGATGTCCATCAGGTCAGCCACGTTTATGAAGAAAATCTCCATTAGTAGACTGATCTGATAAATCCGGATTGATTATATGCACACGAGATAGTCATTTCACTAATGAAGTTCAGCCTCTATGCAAGTATATTCATGTCTGACACGTTATTTTTGGAACACTTATGCTAGCTTTTTAAATAAAATTGGGGAAATAAAAACAACATATTTTGAAGTGGTTTTCATTTTTGAAAAAAAAATCAGTTAATATCACACGTCTTTTCCACAGAACTTTTTTTTTTAAAAGCTACTCTTCTTGATAATTCTCCAAGGAAGCATTAAAATTCATTTTAAAAGGAAGATGTCCCTTAAAATCAATTGTTGATCTCAATCATTTATCCATGGGTTCATTCGATAGAGTAACTTTACACAAGGGAAATTCTTAATTCTCTGTCCTAAAGTGTTCATGAGATTAAATTAAATGAATAAAAAGTTAAAAGAAATTAACAGATTTTTGTTGGGCAAGGGTTCTTAAGGTTATGGGATCGAGGCATGTAGATGAAGGTAAAATTAGCCACCGAATGATCTCACTGAATGACCAAACTGACTGATGTTTCTCCCTATTCACATTTTCCTGCAGATCTGTGCAGGTTTTATATTTGCCCCAGATTCAGTGGGCTGAAAGGCTTACTTCTGTTCCTATGTCTAATGTTTTCCCAGCACTGCCAGGGCTAGATACACAGTAAAGCTTTCTTTACCAACTACAAAAGCAGAAATTGCTGATAAAGCTCAGCAGGTCTGGCAGCATCTGTGGGAAGAAATCGGTGTTCACATTTCGGATTCAGTGACCCTTCCTCAGAACTGGTGGTAGCTAGGAAAATGTCAGTTCATATGCAGAAGGTAGGTTGGGAGGATGGGCAAGGAGTAAACAAGGAGGTAGGGATAAAGGCCAGAGACAGAAGAACAGTTGAACCACAAAGGAGTGGATAACAATCCGGCTCGGAGGATGAATAGCTGTTAATGGGGGTTGTTAGTGACCAACAATGGGTTGTGTGTAATAGCAGACTATGTGATAATAAGGCCTGATGTATGGGGGTTGGGGTAAGGACATGAGAGAGCTCAAGCCATAAAGTTGTTGAACTCGATAATAATCCAGAAGGTTGCAGCTTTCCCAAGCAGAAAATGAGGTGTGTTCTTCCAGCTTGTGCTGAGCTTTCGGTTTCTATTTAGTAAAGCTCTCTTTACACTGTCTATCAAACGTGGAATTTCTTCTCTCAGGGGAGAGTAAATCTTTGGAATTGTTTACCGCAGACAGCTGTCAAGGCCGGGTCATTAAATTATATTTGAGGCTGAGGTAGATTTCTATTCAGTAAGAAAATCAAGGATTATGGGGCAAAAGGCAGGAAAGTGGAGCTCAGGATTATCACATCAGCCACGATCTAATTGAATGAATAAGCAGGCTTGTTGGGCTGAATGGCTTACGTCTGCACCTCCATCTTATTGTCTCCCCATCAGCCCCTTGCGTGCTGTTGTTTCAGTGTTAGATGGGCGACATCTGAATGGGTGGGTGCAAATCAGGAGGTCACCACATTACCTGCTCACAGCTGCTTAATATTCATAGAATCCCTGCAGTGTGGAAACAGGCCATTCGGCCCAACAAGTCCACAGCGCCCCTCCGAAGAGCATCCCACCCAGACCCATTCTCCTATCCCTACATTTCCCATAATAGGCACACAGAGTGAATATGCTTTGGCATCAAATGCTGGACAAAGGCCATTTGCACCATATGGTTTGTCCTTGCAAATTGAACTCTGACATTTCACTGTCAGCTCGAAGTCCGAGTGGCTGCACATTCCTACAGCAATTTATAAAGACAAGTGATCCTCATTCAACTGGATGATGAAATTTCTCAAGTGTTACTGGGTGCTACATCTACCTGTTTCACCACATGCCCAGTACTGATCTCAAGGCCTTTTAAAAAAAAAATGTGAAAAAGGAATATTGAAGAAGCTTTCAGCAGGAGGCAATGGAAGAATGAAAGAAATGGTCTTGTTTGTACCTATCAGCAACTTGCCACACCTCTTTGGCAGCACCTTCCAAACATACAGCCTCTACCCTTCCAAGGGCAATAGATGAAAGGGAACACCACCCCTGCAAGATCCCTTCCAAGTGGAGCACCATCCTCAACAGACCATCTGTTTTATTAAATAAATAAAAACACATCAGGCCTCTGTTGGCTCTTTCAAAAAGTTGTTCAAGTAGCCCCACTCCCCTACTCTTTCCTCATAGCCCTGCAAGATTCGTTTTTCTTCAAATAAACAATGAATCTGTTTGAATCTACTTCACCTGCCCCTTCAAGCTGTGCATTCTATGTCAAACTCTGTCAAAAAAGGGATTTTCATCTACTTGTCAGATCTAATGCTAATTATCTTAAATGTGGGAAGTTTCCCTCCCTCAAAACCGATTAATTTTGATTATCTATTAAGTCACTTCTCAATCACTTCTGCACAACAGAGAACAATTCTGACCCTGCTTCTCCACTTCACACAACCTAAATCCCAGTTACTGTTCTGGCAAATGCTTATCCTGCAAACTTTCCCCTGTCCAGAAATGCAACCACTTAGTTCTTGACACTGTCAATATAATTTTCTTAAAGTTCTTGCTCGTCATCCTGTCCGCTGCAGTTTGAGCCCCGCCTCAAGTTAAATGACCCAGTCTCCTGGCAGACAGAGGCAAACATTTCTCTGGGGTGGAGTGAACAATGGACTTTGCAAGCTCTACCCAATGACAATAAACTGTCAAAGTAGTGGCTCTGAAAAGTTACCTTTAGAACAGACTAGGAGGAATTGGTTACAGGAGGGGTGTGGAGATGAAAGGAGGCATGCATCGTGCACCTCCAACAACAATGCTCCTGGCCGTTCCCTATGCTTCCTCAGCCACCATCATGCACAACACCACCACCCCCACTCCTCCCCACCTGTTCCCCATGGCTCCTCCGCTAGCTTGGTTCTGTGGATAGGCTGCTGAATTTCTATGCAGTCCCCTCCCCAAACCAAATTCCCACCTCCGAACGAACCAGATAACTATCAGCGACAGCAATGTGCCATCTCCATGTAAATGCAAATTAATCAAAAACACTGCAGGACACACAGCCTATTTGTGAAAGCCTCTCCAATCCAAACTGTGACTCCTCTGAATGCCATTAGACAATCAGGATAAGGTAAACTCAGCTAAGTTATGATGCTGGTGCAGCATTCAAAAACCACAAGCAACAAAGCTGCCAAGTGCCCAGGTGTCATTGTCCTTTCGCAGCCAGGCCCCAGTCCAGTGGAAAATGATAGCATCTCATCAGTAGCTGGAAGTATTAGGGTGGGACCACTTTCACCATGTGGCCACCACAGCATGCAGTATTTCCTCACTCATCCCCACACACACACACCCACACAGTGTCCCACATGTGGAACGTCCATGACCAGACAGGGTGGCAATACTTGTTCTGGTACCTTTCTTTGCTTAAGTTTGAAGGCAGCTTTGGCCGAGGCTCGGTATCTTTTTCTTGGTGTTCCGGAGGAGGAGGGGTGGGGGTGGGGAAATGGAAGGGACATGGTAACTTACCGTGCACTCTTGGAATAACAAGACAGGGTGACGTGGCTGATGTCCTGGATGTCCAAAGCGGTGGGCTCTGCCGAGATAGCCTGCCTCTTGGTCCTCTGCTGCTCCTGGAGTTGGCTGCTGCTGGACTCGCTCTGGCTGGGGGGTTGAGCGGCCGGCCGCAGGACCGAGCGGTATTTGTCCAGTTCGGTTTGTAGCTTCTGGATCAGCTCGTCCTTCTGGTCCAGTTCCAGCTCCAGCTCGTCGATCAGGGCGTCTCTCTGCCTCAGCTCCTCGATCTTCTCCTGGAGGGCGTACTGCAGGTCCCGCAGGGTCCCCATCTCTCCCGGCACGGGGTGGGTAATTGACAAAATCTCGCCCCACTCCAGGACCAAAAGCAACTCAGTCTTCCTACTTCCCGCCAGCCAGGCACAGCTGAGGAACCAGATTATTGAGCATTCTCGCTCCTCTCCTCTCTCTCTGAGCAGCCCTGGCTCTTCCAGGTAACTGTCTGCTTGTAACTACATTCCCGGGGTGTCCTCGCCAAGCTGCCGTGGGGAGCCGACAACTTCCAGTATGTGCAAAGAAAAATCTTCGGGCGAACCGAGCAACACCCACCCCAAAACTAGCTCAAACCCCAGGGCTGAAAACGCCCGTGCCGAGTCCAGCCAACTCTTGGGCACTTCCCATCAGCTACTTCATTCCCCACCCAGCGGAGAGCCTCAATCACCGTACAGACTTGGGGAAAGACGATTAATCAAAACACAGGAAAACAACGATTGGTGGGGTTGGGGGTGATGGTGGGTTATAGGAGGTTACAAGAGGTTAACAGGAGGCTTCCAGATGAAGACTGGCACCGCTGCGTTTTTGGATGCTCGCTTTCCCCAAGGTGCATTAGAGGAGGGGAAATAACCGAAGCTAGGGGCGTTGTAGAGGGGAAGCTGGAGGCGTGGTGTGGCTGCTGCTAAGCGCGCAGACACACACACACACACCGCAGTAGAGACTTCACAAGCTGGGACGGCGGCGCCGATATAGATTCAGCACTGGATCAGTGGACAGCGCCACTCCGGGCCAGGGCGGCTGCTGACCCGCTCTTCAAACCCTCGCCCTTCTCACATGCCATCGTCAGAATCATCCATATTTGGCGAGGGAAGACCACAGGCGGGGTGCCCTCCTTCGCCACTATCCCGATCAATTTGAGAATCAGTTTGTGAGCGGTCAGGTCTTGTATCCCCCTGCCCCCGTCTCAGTCTGGATTCTGCGTGCGTGTGCAGTTTTATCGTCCTTACTCTTACTTCCCTTCCACAAGTCTCCGGAACACCAGCGCGGGTCTCACCTCAACGCATTCCAATCAGCCCCCGGTGACCCAGAGACCTCACGGTTTCAAACGCTTCGAGTCTTGACTGAACGCAGCGCACCAAGAATTAAGAGATAACTCGCAACCGGCCACTATACAAATACAAGCCTCTGTTGAAACAATCCAGGAAGGCTAGCAGCTCAAGTCTTTCTAACCTAGCTAACACTGAAACTTCTGCACAGTCCCAGACAAACCCTGGGGTTCATCAGAAACCAAACTAGGTCAGCCAAATAATGCTGCAGCTACAGAAGCACGCCAGAGGCTGGAAATTCAGTGGCAAGTCACTAGCTTCATGACCCTTCAAAGCCTGTTCACCATCTACAAGGTACAAGTCGGGAGTGTAATGGACTACACCCCTTCTGCTTGGATGACTTCAGCGTCAACAACATTCAATAACGTTGACACCATCCAGGACACAGCAGTCCACTTCACTGGCAACACACCCACAAACATTCACTCTCTCCACCACCAACACACAAAGGCAGTATGTACCTTCTACAAGATACACTGCAGAAACTCGACGCCACCTCCAAAGTCCATAACCAAGGAGGACAAGGGCAGCACACACATGGGGGCACCTTCTGCAAGTTCCCTTCCAAGCCACTCATCATCCTAACTTGGAAATATATTGCCATTCCTTCAGTGTCACTGGGTCAAAATTCCATTTTAACGACACACCAATAACCTACTTCATATTTTGAAAATCTTCAGAAAATTGAATTGCATCTAGAAATCATTGGAATTCCCAATCCAGAATAATGATGGGGTTCAACAAGTTATCCACACCTGGCAGCAAATGGCAGACACATTTAATATAGCCTCACATTGACAGAGCAGGCTGATCAAATGGACATATTATACACTGGTAAATAGCTGGTTGGGAGACACATGGTAACTAAGGGATCCACAAGGCACCAAAACATACAGCTTTATTGATCAGTGAACATCCAAACTCCTTAAAGCTGGACATTGGGAAGGTGGTGGTATACTGGTAATATTAATGGAATAGGAATCCGGACCCCTTGCCTAATGTCCTCGGGAGATGAGTTTGAATCCAACTAAAGCAGATGGCGCAACTTGAATTCAATAAAAATCTTCAAGAAAAAGCTAGCCTTATGGTGACCATGAGGATTGTCCTAAAATCCCACCTATTTCAAAGTCCTTGAACGAAGGAATTCTGTCATCATTATCTGGTCTGGTCTACATGTAACTCCACATTCACAACAATGTGACTGACTCTTAACTGTCCTCTGCCAATCAGGGTTGAGTGATAAATGGTGTAAGCAATAGTGATGCCCACATCCCTTGAATGAATAAATAAATTTTTCTCTCTAGCCTAATGTTCAGAATCAATTATCTATTTTTCTATTCACCATGTTACTCAATCAATTCATTATTTACTTCCCAAGGAAATGGGCATGGGGATCCAGAGATTCAGGACTTTTAAGAGATTTCAATTTCTGAATCTTTTATCTTGTAATTAGAAAGCCCACAAATACTGACAATCAGAAATCTGAAGAATACATTTTAGGATGTGCAGTCTTTATAACCCAAAGGTGAGGTCCATGATGCCCTAAAGATCTCAACCAAAATATCAGCCTATTTTCTTAAGATACTGACTAACCCAGTGTAGTTCCAGCAGTTTAGTTCATCAGTTATTCAGACATGTTAATGGAAGGTGTTGGCAGAAATTAATGCAGATTGATCAGCAAACTGACCATACTGGAACTAGCATTACAAAACCATGGCCTTCAAGACAAAAACGGAGCATCATTCAACTCACATAGCATACTTAAATAACACCTTTAATGTTATAAAACCTCAAGATCTCTCAGAGAAGCTCTATAAAGCAACATTTGACCAAGTCACAAAACGAGGTATTAGGTCAGGTGACCAAAAGCTTGGTCAACTGTCGGTTTTAAGGTGCACCTTAGAGGTGGAAAGAAACAGTTTAGGGAGGTCATTTCAAAGCTTAGGAAGATATTGGCATGCCCACCCAAGATGAAGTGGTTAACATCAAGGATGACCATAGTTACAGGAGTTCAAAGGTGTCAGGTGGTTATGAGGCTGATGGAAACCACAGAGGAAAGATATGGAGGGATTCGAAAACAAAACCTGAGAATTGTTAAAAGTGAGGTGCTGCAGAATTGAGATCCAATGAAGTTCACGTATGATGGATGAATTGATGCAGCACAAGTAAGGACACAAGCATCAGAACTTTGGTTGATGTTAAATTCCCAGCGTGTACAACCTGCGAATGCTTTGGAGTGGAGCTAGAGGTTAAAAAGGTGGGAATGAAGGTTTTAGCAGCAGACTCATTGATAGAGGATGATGTAAAGGAGGTAAAGTTTTTTATTCAATCATGAGGTATGGGCATCGCTGGCTGGCCAACATTTATTGCCTGTTTCTAGTTGCTCTTGAGAAGAGTGTGTGTGATTGGTTTATGCCCACACTTTGGCAGGATTACAGATTCTGGGAGTGGAATACAAGGTAGGACAATAATCAAGGAGTTCAGACTGCCTCAGATTAAAATTTGGCTGATTTACATCATCAGATCACCAAGATTTGCATCTTGTCTCATTCCTGTTAGCTGTTTGCCCTCAGTGGTTCTTGTCCCTTTGCTGTCACTCAGTAATACACTCCCTAAACAGGAGGTTGCACTCACTTGTGTTTGTCATGGAGCGGTAGATGGCAGAGAATTCCAGACTCCCCCTCCACTTTTTTTGAAAAACTTGAGGGAATACAAGACGAGCCTTCACCACCTATCCCCAGAGTTTAGGCAACCTTTTTTGCTTATATTATTCTGGTGAATCTGCACCGTTTTTATACCCCAACCCAGCCCAAAATGTCCTCCTTGGGAAACTGAGGACAGTGCTTGAGATTTTTATAACAGTAATGTCACCTCCACTTTTTTTTTGAGTCCTCCAAAATAAAGGTCATTATTTCATTTTTCATACTTGTCCACTCGTTCCTACTGATCTGTACATTTACAGCTATTATTAACCACTTATCCATGATGCATAGCATCCTTAAGTCATGCATCCAGCTTTACTGAGATTGTCACACTCAAACCATTCCCACATTGGAGAGGAGTAAATCGATGCACAGCACCAGCTAGAGGCCTATTTAATACCTGCAGGTCATAAGGGCTAGATTAAATGAGGACACCTGATCGGCATAGTCCGCAGCAGCCCAGAACTCCTGGTCTCAAGCAATCCGATAGCCTTAGCCTCCGAGTCGCCGGATTACAGGCGCACGCCACCGCGCCCGGCTCTACCTCTCCCCTGCAGAACGTACAGCCCTCCGCTCCAATCCCAACCTCACCATAAAACCCGCAGACAAGGGAGGCGCAGTTGTAGTATGGCGCACTGACCTCTACATTGCTGAGGCCAGACGCCAACTCTCCGACACCTCCTCCTACCGCCCCCTTGATCATGACCCCACCCACGAACACCAAACCATCATCTCCCAAACCATCCACAACCTCATCATCTCAGGTGACCTCCCACCCACAGCCTCCAACCTCATCGTTCCCCAACCCCGCACCGCCCGCTTCTATCTCCTTCCCAAAATCCACAAACCTGACTGCCCTGGTCGACCCATTGGCTCCGCCTGCTCCTGCCCCACCGAACTTATCTCCAACTATCTCAACTCCATTTTCTCCCCTTTGGTCCGGGAACTCCCTACCTACGTCCATGACACCACCCACGCCCTCCACCTCCTCCAGAACTTCCAATTCCCCGGTCCCCAACACCTCATCTTTACCATGGATGTCCAGTCCCTATACACCTGCATTCCCCATACAGATGGCCTAAAGGCCCTCCGCTTCTTCCTGTCCCGCAGGTCCGACCAGTCCCCCTCCACTGACACCCTCATCTGCTTAGCCGAACTCATCCTCACCCTCAACAACTTCTCTTTTAATTCCTCCCACTTCCTACATACAAAGGGGGTGGCCATGGGTACCCGCATGGGCCCAAGCTGTGC